TCTTTTTTCTCTCTTTTTGTTCTTTTTTATCTTTTTCATTCTTTTTCTCTTGTTTCTTTCCTTTTCTCTTTTTTTCTTTCTTCCCCCTCTCTCCCTCTCTCTTCTTCTATTTCTCTTTTTTCTTTTCTTTAATGGAATAAAAAGGCCAACAAGTAAGCCTAATTATAGGGCAGTCTGCAAAACGTTTGTCCAAAATATCACTGACTCTGAGAATTGAGCCAGCCTCCCAGTTGCTGTAACCAAATGGGCTAATGATGCAACAATTTTTTGGACAGTTTATTAATCCTGATGTATTGCTCAGTTTTTGATATTTGACAAGCTGAATATATTGTATAACTAGATAATAAGTCATTGACCAGTTATTGCTGTTGGAGATATTTATGTGATTTGTCAATTACAGCCACGCTTTAACAGGCGGAGAACATGGGGTGGGGGTCAATTGACTCCTTTGGATTTGCTCAAAGGAAATCTTGTAACCATCGCGGAAGAAGACACAAGCTTGGTATTGACTAATGACGGTTAGTACTTAATTTATAAAGTTGTGTTCTATAGTGTGTTGAAAGTTGAGAAAAGCACAGCTAACCCCATGTTCATCATTCTGCATATTCTCTATGTTGAATGCATGGGCCTTTCTTGCCATTCATGGAATGGGATGGCTTGCATGAGATCTGAACTACTACAATAAGACAAAATAACAAAAACAGAAAAGTGTTTGTGTCAAGAAAATTTCAAGGAATCTAGACCTGTGAGAACGATTTTCATTTTAATATTAAATTTTTTGGTATATTCTACTTTTGTGTGTGTGTATTTGGTTATTATTTGTGGTGGGTTGTTATTTTGGGCTTGTGTATCTATAAATAGAGTAACTTACCTAGTGAAGAGAAAGTTCTGTAATGCTGTGAAAAATAGATTTTGAAATTGAAATGGAAATTAATGTTTTGGGGTTCTCTGATGCTGAAAAAAGTATTGTTGTTGTTGTTTTCTTTTTAATGTCAGTCTTATTGTCTGTGAACAATACTAGTGCCTAAACTATGTGTAGGATGTTTTCCTACAGCAACCAGAAATTAGTAACAATATTATTTGCATATGACCAAGTTATAACAACAGAATCCAAAGACCCATTACAAAAAGCAGGCTTCGAATTAATCAAAATATCAAGGCAGAAAACTAAAACACTAGTCTTCTATGGCAAAGAACATCTTAGAGCCTAAATGGTAAAAAAAATTCAATAATTGAACAAGTTACTTTTAAATATCTTTGAAATTCAATTGGATGAATGGTATTAAATTATAGACTGAATGGCAAGAGAGGGAGAGGCCGACTGGCAAGGTGATGGCACCAGCGGGAACACTTTACTACATAAAGGAATGCTGCTTAGTACTTACTAATAGGACAGAAGCACCACTCATAATCGGAGGGTGAGAGTGGTGGTGATGATGATATGACATTAACACCATTTTGCTCCATTTTGTGTTTTAAAAAATTGAACGAATTTAAGTTGTTGACATCTTACATTATTAATATTTACAATACTGGCAATTTGTATACTTTCGCATTTATAAGTATGCAGCTTTCAAATGGTGTCTTCGCTAATTACTCTTTTTGTAAAAATGAGCTCAAAATTCTGCATTTCCAGGAATGATCAAATGCCATTTTCTCAAAAAAGGCTCCACGTTATTTTGTACAACTTTTTGTGCAGATAGTGGTAAATGCTCTGTATAAGATGCCATAAATACCTTCATTAAAACAAAAGAATCCCTAAAATTGTTTTTATTTCCCAGGCAATAACCCAATAAATACATACTGTACAGAAGTTACAGTGGTACAAAAGAAAATTAATAGATACAATGTTGAGACACAACCATGAATTACTTAGTCAGCAGTGAACTGTTAAGCAGTTTGACAACATTTTGATTTGAGGTAAAAGGGATTTCGTTGTCTAGCATACTTGCTCATTCTCCACATTGGGGCATTATACCAATAGTTTGTGTGAGCTGTTGGTATTGAGAATATGTAATAGTTCCCTCTCAATTGGTGTGTGGATACATTCCATGATACCTTTGAAAGTGACTCAGCACAATCTATTGCATTATTGCAGAGTTCAAAAAGGAATGAAAAATAATGAAGTTGTCTATGTTACTAAAGAGAGCTTATATTTGTGTTACTATTTGTGCTGTTTAAGTATAATCATGGATTAAGAATGGAGATAGCTGGCAGAGTTTCCAAGCTAGAAAATTTAGGTACTTGTTGTGAACTGTTTCTAATTTATCTTTATACTACATATGACATTTGAGATGCATACATCAAAATAGGCCCTATGTAAGTAGAATAAAGAGTGACTTTGTGTTTAAATTCCACCGATGTCCTCCTCACAAAGCCAATTGACCTTGACAATTTGGTCAACATGTATATTAAATTTTATTTTGGGGTTGAAAGTTACTCCAAGGTCTTTAATTTGGTCAACTGAGTCCAATTAATGCCTCTATCTGTTGTAAGAATTTTATGGTAGGCTTCAGGTATGATAACCTCGTAACCTTATATTTTTTTCTCTTAATGCTCGACAGCCCACTACGGGCCTCAGTACGGCCATGGGTCAGTCTCTCAGCCATGGGATAAGGGTGTAGTTAGCAGAAGGGCATCCCTCCATCTTTATACTGGTCTTTTTAACCTTAAGTTGGGCTTTCTGATCATCACACAACTATAGAGACTGAAACATTTGTAAGGAAAGTGCAGTTATTATTTTGGCCCGGACAGGTATTGAATTCCGGTTAGCACCGAGGAAAGTGAACATGCTAACCGATAAGCCACCAAGGGCCAACTTTACATTTACTGACAAAAAAAAAACACAGCAAATTATAATTGCTCCACTTCAATATATCATTAATAGCTTGCTGAAGTATTTTATTGTCTTCTATAGTTTTGATCTCCTTAAATAATTTCAAATAGAAGAAATGGGCACGTTCTTAAAGTAGATTTTGTTTCATTAATAAAGGTCGGGAATGATAAATGGTCCTAAATTAGGCCCTTGGGGTATACCTGAGTATTTGAAGGTATTTTGGGGATCTATGACTTATGTTTTACATTTTGATCTCTAAGGGATAGGTAGCATTTCAACTATGAAAATAGTGGACCATGGAGGCCTATGGATTTTAAGGTGCTTATTAGTGCAAATGTGCATATTAATGGTGTGAGATATCTTCAAAAAAGTTACGAACATTTGTGTAATTTTTGAAAACCAAACAAATACCACAAAATTAACATTTTGTCATACTGAAGAGTGCAATTAGCAATATCCTGTAGAGTAGTTAAAAATTCAACCAATTTTTGAAAAAATGGCATTTGAGTGTTTCTGAAAATGGAGTTTTGAGCTAGTTTTCACAGAAAATGTTGGTTTTATGAAAACTTTGACATTATTTGAAGCACATGTACTCATAAATATAATCATGTGAGCAAATTGCTGCTAATATAAATATTAACAACATGAGAGACAAGTAAAAAAAATTACATTTCTGTAATTTTAAAAAAAAAAAAACTAACAATAGAGCAATATGGTGTTTATCATCTTATAGAGTGCATTTAGCACTATCCCTATCAAAAGTTTAAAGAAAAATTTGGAGCCGATTTTGAGAAGGTTTTTGTAATTTTTTAAAATTGCAAATATTGCTTGAAAACTAATAAATATTTTAAACAATGTTCATGATGTTAAGAAAAGAACTCATTATGAACAACAAATTTCATTTTAAGGAAAAATCTCTATCTTCAATTCTGTAGTTGTTGGAAGATGTAAAGAACAAAATTCCAACTTGTCTAGTTTTCGAAAATTCAGAGTGAACCATGTAAATCGAACCTAAGCAACTTTTAGAAGTGTATTATACTCTATTCTTACAAGAAATTTTTTTTTTAAACATTTCGATGCATTTTTGAGAAAATTTTGAAAATATCCAGGGTGCTTTATGTAAAGTACCTTCAAATTTTGAAGTGTTTTTTAGAATCGCAGTTCAGCAAGATTCACTTACAGTTGAGCTACATCAACAGGGGAATAGCCATTTATGAAAATATCCTATGTATGGTTTAGGTGCCTGTAGTGTTCCAAATGGATAAACAGAAGGATGGATGGACATTTTGAACAACACCCAACTTCTTTGGTATCAGGGGACCCCAAAACTTGCATTTCTATTGAAATTTTGAAATTGATTTTCCGCAGCATTCCATAACTTTCTATATACTATGTATACATTTGTATACGAGAAAGTAAGAAGCTTTCATGGAAAGATTTATTAATCAGAATATGTAATATTGGTGTTAATTGTCGATGCAATTTTTCAAAAACAAATTGGATTCCATCAAGTTCATAGCTTTTATTGGGGTCTCACTTTGCAATTGCTTACTTTTAACATCTGTTGTTGTTAGTGGTGGTGTTTTTTTGTTTTTGTTTTTTTAAAATATATATAAATGACTATATTTGACAATCCATTCAGATCTTGTTTGAATTTGGTGTATTTCCAGAAATGTTTGATATCAATCCCAACTAATTCTTTGACCATATGGACTTATGAGTAGTATTTTTTCCTAACCTCATGCTTACACATTCCATGAATATAAGAAAAGTATTGGAATGTTGTTGAATCTTGTTGAATCTTGAAACTTATATATTTATATTGCGTAACATTTCTGTTTTATAACTATTTACATACCTAGAAATGTTAGGAGCGTTATTACTGCAGAGGCCAAAAGTTAAAAATAAAGGCGGTGCGTTGCTATGCTTCGATTTGTAATTTGGATGAAGCAGTAATAATACTGTAACATTTCATGGTAAGTTCAACATTTTATCGGTCACCATAAAATCTCAAGATTTATGAGAAAATTTATGACATGACTGCGATAGTACACAAATGAATTCTGTTGCGGCTCATTACTACGATTTGGTGGGATGTTGCTTGCAATAAATCTATTTAAACAATATTAATATACCTTCAATTAAGAAAAGATGGATGAAAATAATTCACCTGAACCTAAGATACTTAAATAAATGTGGAAGGTGGCGTGTTGACTTTTCAGTGGTGACACTTTCAGATCGTCAGTAAATATGATTAACAGAGAAGCATTTCATTTAGTGGAATGCCAGGAAAATGAGGTTAATTTATTTTAAAACACATTTTCTAATTGCACTATTAATGTTACAATTAATAATAATTATCCCCAAAACTAATGAGTTAACTTTTATTCTGATTTGTACAAAACATCGCCAGTTTTTTCTTAATAAACATTTGGTGATTAATCGATGGTTGTATGTACGTTGCTAGGAGTGTTAAAACATGTTGCTAAGGATAATAAACTTTTTAACTTGCAGGTAGGTATAAGGGCGCATAACAGATTTGTAGGGTTGCATGTTAATGGGCGTTAAAAACGCATGTGACCATTAATCAATTTAATTGGTTAATTAATTGGCCGTGGCTGTTTTCCCCATCCCAATTTCCATGCCTCTTTATCCCATAGATAGCTTTCCTCCATTTCTCTTTTTTCCATGGCTTCAGTTATTGCCATGTTCCATGTCCTTCTCGGTATTCCCATGTATCTTCTTCAATTTGGTACCCACTCCCAAACTATTTGAGGAAGTCTATCTGATTTCAACCTTCTCATATATGTCCATACCATTTTAGTTGTTTCATTTCGATTGTCTTGTTGAAGGTTGTTTGCATTTTCATTTTATTTCTTAATTCTTAACTTCTTATTTTATCTAACAGAGAAAGTTTACAACATCTTCGCCAGAACATAATTTCTGTTGATTGAAATTTGTCTTTCAAATTTTTTGGTAGTGTCCAGACTTCTGCCCCATAGAGTGTAGTACTCTCTATGAAGAAGCTATATATGCATTTCTTTGTCTTCATTGAAATAATTAAGTTCCATAGCACTGGATTCAACTGTCTTGTGGTTATTTTTCCTCTTATATTTTTATTTTTCACATCTTGTTTTAGTCTGTACCGTCTGCTGTTAGTGTGACTCCCAAATACTATATTTTGTTTTACCTTTAAATTATTCGCTATACTAGTCTCAAATCATGGGGCAGATTCCCACCACCATATGTTCAGTTTTTTGTAAAATTTATTTTCCATACCCATACCCTATTTTCCATACTCTTCTACTTAATTTTCTGAACGTATAAGTTACATTCACCTCATCTTCAGCCATTATCGCTGGGTCGTCTGCAAATAGTTAGACTAAACAATGTTCAATTACCTATTTTCACACCCATGCCTCGTGCACTTTCTTTTCCATTCTTTTAGGGCTTTATCAATGGTAATATCTTAACAGGGTTGGAGATATTACAGCAAGCTTGCCGTAATCCTTTATTTTACTGGGAAGTTGTCTGATAGACATTTTTCCCACTTCTACTTGACTTTTTTATCTTTATAAAGTTGTTTTGACATACATTTATGTATGTTGTTGATATTCCTTTCCTTCCATTGCCCCCATAACGTCTTGTTATGAAAGCCTTTTTGAAGATCAATGAAAAATTATGTGAAGTTCTTCTTCCTCACTTAATTGCCTTTTATCCATCAGTTGTTTGAGGACAGAATATCATTGTTCAATAACACGATCTTCCTGGTCTAAAACCACTTTGCTCTTCTGATTGATGTTTGCAGATTCTATTCTACTTCTTTAGCACACAGATCCATACAGATCTAACCAAAGATGAAGTCACACTTATCCCTCCATTATTATTACAATCTTTTACAACTTTTTGTGTAAATTGACTTTATATAGGCTAATGTCCATATTTCAGGTATTTTACCTCCTTTTAAAATGTTCAGATGCTTTATTATTTTTCATGTTTCTTAACACTTTTTTTAACTCTTTCCAAAGTCACATCGGGTGTGATCGAATTTGTGTGTGGTGGTTCATAATTTATTCCCTGAAATTTAGTTCTATTTTCTGTCAAAAGATTTTCATAGTATTTTTGACATTTTTCAATACCGATTGAGTTTACTATATGCCATTCTTCGGTTGTATTCAATTTCATGGATTGTAACATTTTCCATGCCTCTCTGGATTTGGTGTTACCAATGCACTTGTCTAATCTGTCACATTTTTGTTCCCAGAATACATTTTTTTCCTTCTTCACTTCTTTCTTGACCATTACTAAATGACATTTTCTTAAAACAGCCTCAACTTTTTCAACAAAAATTTCCCTACAGAATTTTCTTTATAGTAGTTTTCTGTAATAAGTCAAGCAATGTTTCGATTTTTCAAAAGCTAATCCAGACCAAGGAAATTAGAAAACTAATTAGTACACGAAAGTCTGTGCCATTTGTTGCACCAGTTGTTAAATTTTGTGCTAAAGCAATTAAAATAATCAAATTCAGTACTACACACACTCTAAATTCATGATTTCATTGCCAAGTACTCTGTATTAATTTGTATATTGTTGCTGTTCTTTGTATTTCATCTTTTCTGTTCTTTTTCTGGAAAGAGACAATCAATGAGACCATGAAACCACAAGACCATGAAATAGTCCCACATAGTCCTTGTACCAAAAAACTCCAAAAGCATTCTTATTATTTCGATACAATTTCAATATGTCACTGGTAGTAAAGTTTGAAATGCACTTATTTTGCTTCAAACATGCTCCAAATTAGTGCTTTACAGGAAACTCAGAGCCGAGATATATAAGATTCTCTTCTCATATGGAAGCGTTGTGGTGTTACATGCATCTTCCTCTTTAAGAAAAGATGTATAGTGAAACCTGTTTTAATGTTTTCCTACCTTTTACATAATTTTTCATTGGTCCCATCATAAAGCCTATATTTACAATATATTCTCTTCCTGCAATTTACAACTTCAAATGAAGAATGCTTCCTGTTTTTTACATGCTTCTTCTCTCGTTCATTTACTGTCTTGTACACGTACGTATTATGTGGAGTAATGTACATAGTGCAGAGAAAGTTATGTAATATTTGGTTATGCAATACAGTGCTTTTTCAAAAGGAGAAACTCACTGATACAGAAAAAAGTGGATAAATTCCGTTCCAATATGAAGTAAATTACTACATATGTATGTAGCAAACTCGGAAAGCATTAAATTCTTTCAGATCAATCAGGAAATATCAGTTTCGGAGAAAATTGGTTGAACAGTTTAGGCACAAGCCTTGATCTCAAGCAGACATTTTGCTGTCAATGGATTTTTGTTTCAAGGACCCAGAAAATGGATTCGGGCTAAACCAGCATGCGAGACAAAGTAATTTATTATATAGGAACACTATTTATTCACTGTTTCATTAACAGGTCCTGTGAATAAGAGATTCTGTTGAATTTTCAGTTTTGTGGCTCTCAATTGCAATACTTTCTCTTCTTATGAAGTATGTGACAATAAAATAAACTATTTGAAGTTAAAATAAAATAAGATAATATAAAATTAAAACAAAATAAATGTATAAAATGTATTTCATAAGCATAAGTAATTTTGTAATGAAACAAACAATTGTAATGTAAATGCAAATGTGGTATCTAAATTAAACTAGTGGTGTCACAACAGCCAAGTATTTGCCTAGTGTAATATTTTTTAACTTTTCTGCATATTACACTTCTTTCTATTGGTCCCCTGAGAAGTGTTAAAACAAGGTTTTCCTTCGGTGCAAAATGTTTGTGCTAGGTACGCTATTGTGGATGTTTGGTTCATGACGATAATTTAAAGAAAAGAGGGATTATGTGGATGTAACCTTTGAAAGAGACTGGGATTTTTATTTTTGACATAGATTTCAACACCCCCTATGAAGACTTTGAAGTGCAGCTAATTGAAGATGAGAGAGAAAAAGGCATTGAAATGGATATTCTCCCGAATTCTGAATCCCCAATTAATTTGGGAAATAGTAGTTTTGGTAGCAGTATTCCGAGTACTAGAGCATCTAGAAACTTTTCCCTATCTACTTATGAAGAATGTAAGGAAATTCAAACATCAGCTTCGATAATGTGCACGCCAGTCAGGTGAGTTAAATTTTAAATGTTTTTCTCAGCACGTTTTTTTATTACTTCTAGTTATTGAAACAAGAGGGTAATTATGATAATAATTAGTTATGAAGGAAAAGGAATAGATTGTGTATATTTTGTAAGTGGGTGTGATGGAAAGTTATACACGAAAAATGGACAATTTTCTAAATCTTATTCAAATTTGTAAGAGGTGGGCCTGAAAATGTGTAACCCAGTTGCATTAAAACCCCTCCCTATAATTACAAAATTAATCTTTTTTGGGCTTTCTATTTTATTTTCCTAGCTATCCCCCACTACAAAGTATGTGTGGCCTTGTTGTTAATTTTTACAGAGAATATTAATTCGAAATAAAATTAAACTTTATATTTCATTCAAGCATAAGAAACCAATTCAGAATAGCCCACCTACATTTACTCCTCTCTCCTGCTTACACCTATCCTACCTACTCAGAATATAATGGAATTCAATACAATAAAAACTATTCATTTACAAAAAGGCCAGAGTTGTGTTAAAAAAATAAAAAAAAAAAATCTTTGATAGGATAGGAAAACTAGCAAATATTGAGAATTTGAGATTCTGAATCTTTCTGATTACCCGAGTTGTTTTATGAGCTTCTCTGGTCGTGGATCGGGCGGCAAAGGGCTACCATTCACTGTGGCTTATGGTCATGCCATTAAGGTGTGCAATGTCTCTTCTCTCTCTCCCATCCTCTCTCCCTCTGTCTCTCGTACACACACACCCATACTCAAAGGCATACATTACATGCATACATATATTCAACTGTGACGGCTTCGACTTCACTCGGCAAGGATATATACTACTGGAGTTGGATTACTGCTTAACTATAGTACAATTTATTTAGTCGTGCACTTGTCATAAATCAACTGGTGGGGTTTTATCCAATCAGGAGCTGATGTTGCTACAGTAACGTCACTATGAGGATGTTCAAGCACCTGGTTGGATGAAACTGTGAACAGCTAATTTACATCAAGAGCACTGTTAAATGAATTGTAGTATACTCAGCATGTTTCAGAACCATTTTTCTGAGGGTGTTAAGAGTTCCATTGTACACAGTGCTTCAAAAGTTATTTACTCGCACTTTTACTTTTGCTATATGGAAAATAAGCTAGCTGTACAAATTTTACGCTTGTAGTACAAGTGCTGAATACTCAAAATAATCCAAATAATATGTTGTCTACACTGACGAAACAGTCAATTCAACACTGTTTTCAACAAATGTTTCTTCAAGCTATACAGGAAAAGAAACCCTCTACTAACTTTGGTTTTTCAAAAGGCATTAAAAAAGTAGCCATCTACATACATTTACAAAATGCATTTGGGTAATATTAAATTAACACAATTCTTTTGAATGCAACACTGCACAGCAATGTGTTCGTTTCACATGCAAGCGAAGAACTGTTTAATTGGAAGGGATGAGAACTCTCTTCAGTGGAGATAATTCTTACACTTCCTTCATTCAATGTCATATGTACTTCTACTGACTTGTGCTAGCTGAGTGTTATATCTTCAAGACATGTCAAGGCATTCGCTGACATTTCCACTGAGCAGACGCAGTGGCGATCGCACACTTGGACGAATGCTCCGTCCGTCCATAAAACCAATGTGGTTGCCTCCAGCCCCATGACAGCCTATGGCACGCTCTACTAGTTCGCAATAAGAGTGTGTGCCGGCTGGCTTTCACGAAGAACACTGATAGCAGACTGTCAGACACTGATTTTGAACGGTGTATGTTTTAAAATTCCATATTTAGGAAATGCTCTGAGAGGTCTTGTATTCCCCTCTTGTTTAGAATTGTGTAAGAGAAAATGCACCGAATTAATTTGGGTGTGTACATGCTTCTGCTGCCATTTTAAATATCTCTTTAATATACACTTATTTTATCCTTTTTTCATGCACCTTTTTAAGTACAAAAACCTGTTATACTTTCAATTATTAAAATTATTTATGTGAGAATATCGGAAATTATCAATTCAGCACACGTTTTGTTGTCAAAAGATGGCAGTTCTATTACTGGTCTATTAATGAAGATGTGAGCAACAAAACAGTATTGTTCAAAATTAAAATATCAAAGTGAAAACATTACCCATGATGATGATGCTATTTCTGCCTGCTTGACAACTAGGGGTGGAATAGCACAATGTTGCCACATGGGTGGCAGACACGAGGCTGCTGCTTTTTTCTTTTTCTCCCCTCAATAAGTGTTGACAACTCTAGTGACATCAGAATTTGGAGCCTCCGATTGGATAACGGATCCCTCTCTTATGACACACTACCTGTGAAATACCCAGAAACATTATTCGTACATCTTTAAATTTTGAGTCAGTCATAAGCCTGATTGACATGAATGAATTGTGTGGAAATTTGTTCACTGCAAAATGTGAAAAGGCAATTGTATGTAATTGTTCATGTATTTTAGTGATAAATGTGATATTTTATTTTGTAGGCACCACATGGCTACAAACACCACACCTCCATCAGCTAATTCGTTGTATTGGACAAAGGAAAATAAGGAACATCGCAGTTTTATAGGTCATGAAAATGATTTAATCTTCGGACTTGAAAACCAGGTAGAACAAGCCAAAACAAATGTTTTTGCTCTTGTTACTATGGTCAGTAGTGGTTGCATGTGAGTTCATATTGTGAATGCTAAGAAAACTCCTGTTTTCAGCTTGAGTTGAAAGAGAAGGAACTGGAAGTGTTACAAAAATCTTTGAGTGAGAAGGAAGAAATTCTTAAAAACACTCTCTCTTTTCAAGAAAGTTTGACAATGAAGCTGGTTGAATATGAGCAAGCTCTGGAGAAAACTCATAAAGTAAGTCTTCTCTTGTACACTTACAGTTGTGCTCTAAATATTTATTGAATTGATCTAAACAAGTGGCTGGGCCTCAGCACGAGTGCTACGAGAAATTTAATGTTGTTAAACAAATCTTTTTGCATCGAATCCCAAAGCAAAAATAAGAATTTGTATAATAAACAATTGACCTTCCAAAAAAGTTTGTTTCAAGCTACTGCTACAAGTTCCTTATCGGTGTACTTGTACTCTGCTGCACGATTAGCAAGTAATTTTTCTTCAGATTAAATGTTTTGACATAATTACGTATTTTGGCTAAGCCAACTCCTTACATTATCACCAGTTCTAGAAAATAAAGTACAAATTCTCTTCATTAAATGAAATTGTTATATATATGTG